TTAACTCTGTGGTGTTTTACAAATAAATGCCAGGTCTGGCCCCATTTTTTGACCGGCTTCTTACTCAACTTTTATGTCCTGACAGCAAACACAGCGGGATAAGAATCGTGATTGACACAACTGCTACGTACCGCTGTGTTATCAGCCTTGCTGTTTGTGCAGTGCTATTACAGAAACTAACAAAGTTAGATGCAGTTTGCATAAGATAGCATTGTATGAAAACTGATCAACATGAGACGATTAAATTCCACTTCACATAGACTTTTATTGATAAATGCTGGTTATGGTATAAGCTCTTCAATGAGTTAAGTTTACATACAAAGCTGCACTGTGCTTTAACGCTCGCCGCTCCCTAAGCCTGTTTCTTTGCTCACAAGATTCTTTTGGGAACTTTACTTGAAACAGGTTGCTGGTCTCAAATTCAAAATGGGCATATATTTTTCAAAAATCAAAAAACAATTTTTCAGTTTCAACATTTGCTATGTTGTCTAAGACCAACAACGTCTGATCACCTCAGGGTTGCCAGCCCTCACACAGCCGGCGTGACACTTTCCCTTTCAGACTCTCACGCTCACGCAAGAAATTGTTATAGCAAATCCATATTATTCCATTATAAACCTAAAATTAGCTACATCAAAAACGCTGGGGTAGTTTGCAAACCCTACAGACTTTTTACAAGATAATAAAACTCTTACTTACATGTAAATGAGTGTGCAGGCTTGTCTCAATCTGACAATCTCACTCCAGCCAGCTGAACAATGGTGGCAGCCCTGTGACGACTTCCTGTTATCCTTCGACAAATGAGAAAAACCAGCTTGGTCTTCAAATGTCAAACTTTTTCAGTTGTCACTGCTGCCTTTTAAGCTGGTTTCCAAGCTTATGGAAAGTACCTCTTCCTATGTACTCCAGCAAAGGGACCCAGCTGTCATACAAGAATTGTACGGCCAAGCACTCACAGGAACAGGAAAAGCAGGCGGTTATTGGGTGGGGGCCACACGGCCGGATACAGGCGGTGCAGGGTCGGGCTACTCCCCCCAGTCCACCACATATGCATGATTAAAACATAACATTTGTTTTCACTTAAAACTTCTGGTATCCAATCGTTTAACTCCACTCTTCATTTTTCTAAGAAGACACTCCTGGCCTGACTCTTGTGCAGGAAAAGCAAAAAAATTAATTGTTGGACTGTTTAAATCATGCATATCTGCAAAGGAGAGTCTGGCTCATGTCCAGGAGAACTTGGAATGCCACAGAACAAGCAGCTCCAGCAGGTAGAGACACGCTGGAACAGAACTTTTATTAGTGTCTCTGTGAGCAGAGAGAGTGGAGCTGCTGTGACAAATCTGAGGACAGACATCGCTCCTCTGTCAAGTGACGGACTTGAGGTGATCAGTCAGTCTCCCCAAGTGCTATTGAAGTCACACAAGAACTGCCAGCAGAGACGACTGTAAGCTACACTAAGGTGTGTTTGTACTGCTGCTGTTACTTTGCTACATTTCTGAGCTAAATAACTTTTTACTCCAATACATTCTGCACGACCATAGTTANAAAAATCTAAAACAGAATGCAATGATTTTATCCATTTATTTTAAATGAAAATAGTACAAAGACAGCATAACAAACTGAGAAATTGTATTGTTCTTTGAAATATATATGCTCATTGTCACTTCAAAGGCAAAGATGGAGGTAAAGGCAGGCATGGGAGCTGGAAGCATGTTTATATGATGGGTGGGACTCATTTGCATGGGTTTAACAGATTTGGATCGGAGTTACAGTTGTGTTTTTGCATCCCATTGATTCTCATTGTTACGACAGATGCTTTTTTTCACCTATTGCAGAAAACTGTTGACAAGGGTTGGTTGTAAATGACTATAATTAGTCAAGTTTTAAAGACTTATATTTGCTTTAGTTTTACCTTAATCCATGTTATATTAAAAAGTAACGATGGCTTTGTAAGATGTGCTGCATTCGAAAGCCCCCCGTATACCCCAGATGGAATTCTCCAGCCTTGTTCTCCATGCCTGTGGGAGATACCATGCCACACTTTGACGAGGCGGGAGGGGGTCACCTTTTGCAGGAAGGCAGCAGCCCGCTGCAGCTATATGTTCCCTCCCTCAATGGCAAAGACTTCCTATCCTCCTCATACTTGTCATCGGTCCGGCCGCCATTCTCGCTGTGTCATGGTACCACCACCCTGGGGTTTGTGTTCCAGGATGGCGTCATCGCGGCGGCGGACAGTCGCGCAAGCTGCTCGGGCCTGATCGCCTGCCCGGCCGTCCAGAAGATCATGCCGGTTCACTCCCACCTGGTGGTCACCACCTCGGGCAGCGGAGCCGACTGCATGCTCTGGCAGCGCATCCTGGCCCGCGAGTGCCGCCTCTACCACCTCCGCAACCACCGGCGTCTGTCAGTAGGGGGCGCTGCCAAACTGCTCGCCTACATGCTGCATCCATTCAAAGGCACCGATCTGTGTGTGGCGCTAACACTGTGTGGCTGGGATGAGCCTGCGGACTCTTACACCCTCTGACCTTGTGACTTTGGGAACTGACCAATCCGGTAGCCATGTGCTACAGGCCATTATGACATCAGCGAGCGACAAGGGGAGAGGCAAAATACTGAGGAGGCAGGAGGTGAGAGATCAAGGGGCAGGGCAGGTGGGGGGGGATTAAGAGATGAGTGGGAGTCGTATGGAAGCGACTGATGACGGAGAAACGACGTCAGAGGAAGAGGAGGAAGAGGAGGAGCATTTTAGCATTTTTCCAGCACCTGTGAACCTCACACCATACAACCTCATACAAGAGAAACAGGACAGTAAGACAGTTACCCTCTCAGCCTATAACACTCACATATCACAGATACGGCCCTTCTGGACAGACGGCCTGTGATAGGCTGATTGGTGCTGGATTTGTGTTAAAAATGGTTCATCTGGAGTCCATGAATTGTAATGCTTTCATTTTTATTCATATATTTGATCAAGACAGAATTATACAAGTAAAATTATATATGACATAAATTTGACATGCCTAATTAAAATGAAACATTTTAGCTAATAAAGATCATTTAATATCTGAAATCCAGTCAATCCATTTCCAATTCAAAGGCAAGGTGTGGTTCGTTCTTCTTCAGGGACGCAAAAAAAGCATTTTCAGCGTAGATCTAGATCATCAGACACTGTAAAAAAATCATTGATCAAACAGTTAATAGGCCAATGATGGACTGAGACTAGTTGTAACTTGGCAGTGTCACTGTGAATTTCAAAACCAGATCAAATTGCTGGTAAACATGGTGTGATTGTCTTGTAATTAGCATTGAAAGTATGCAACTTGAGGGATAAACCAAACGTTTCTAAAGTCAAGTGAATCATTTGCTCAAAATAGTTTTATTAGTGATGATTATAATTAGTTGTGAAAAGGCCTGTGAAGGCCTACTATTGAGGAGCCGTTAAGTGAGATTAAACATTTTCTGTATATTATACGAGTTTTGGGATAGCAAAATCCATTTTCGACCACATTAAAATGTATTGGGACATCGTGGGAATGTTGTTACAGCAACAGAAAAGGTAATGCAATGTAATGTAATGCAAATTTTCACAGACATCCCACCTCAGGGATATTGATTTCAGGGAGGCAGATGAGGGGCATCCGGGAAGGTGGGGGTGCTGGTCTGTGCTTGGCTGGTATTACGGTAATACTGTATGTATATTGCTGGCCAGTGCTTGACTGGTATTACGGTAATACTGTATGTATATTGCTGGTCTGTGCTTGGCTGGTATTAGGGTAATACTGTACAGTATGTACAGTATATTGCTGGCCAGTGCTTGGCTGGTATTACGGTAATTCTGTATGTATATTGCTGACCAGTGCTTGGCTGGTATTACGGTAATACTGTATACATGTATATTGCTGGTCTGTGCTTGGCTGGTATTACGGTAATACTGTACAGTATGTACAGTATATTGCTGGCCAGTGCTTGGCTGGTATTACGGTAATACTGTATACATGTATATTGCTGGTCTGTGCTTGGCTGGTATTAGGGTAATACTGTACAGTATGTACAGTATATTGCTGGCCAGTGCTTGGCTGGTATTACGGTAATACTGTATACATGTATATTGCCGACCAGAGCTCCAGAACGGTGGTAAAATTTGGGGCGAGATTGCAACAGTAAATCATCTTGCTGGCTGATTGTAAATTGCTGATCTAACTACAGAACAGCAAACGATTATGCTGACACGCTTACATTTGGTCCCCATAATGTAATACATTCACGACCGACACACACGCACACACTTTTTCACAATTTCATTGTGAATTGAAACTTTAAATTTCACATCATACATATTTTACTGAAACACCACATACATGTACAGAATAGCATAAAACTCTTACTCTGCTCTGATTTGTCATCCAGCTCACTTCCTGCTTGGTTACCTGAAATAAGAAAGAATTTCAAATTTATTTCTATCTTCAGCATCAGTGTCTAACAAACTGTTCATCATTTCCCATATAATGCAATACAATATGTTAACTTTTCAAGAGCTTAAAAAGGTTGCAATTTATATGAAAAACAAGAAAGGCAAAAAATATGCTTACGCGTCTTCAGGTCTTTATTCAGTCTCTGAGCAAGGTCATTCAAGTTCATCTTCTTCAGGATTTCAAGCATGACATTGAGAGCATCAGCTTCACTGTAGGCACTTATCATCCTCTCGGCCAGGTCTGTTCTATCCGAGCCCTTCACGCGACCCCTGGGAAGGGGCCTTAACTCTTCACTCACTGGGAGACTCAGTCGGAATTTAAACTCCTTCAGCTTTTCATCATCAAGCTCCTCCAGATAACCCAGCAAGAGCTCGGTGAGTGAGGTCTGGGCCTGCAGAATGGTGGAGGGTCCATGAGACTCACAAACCCATACATGGTCACTCAGAAACATGTACTGAACTATCCGTTAACAGAAGGCAGTTTTCATACTTACAGTCTAAAGCAGCCTCTGAAGACAGCTGCTGTGATTCTTTCATAAGAACATAAGAAATTTACAAACGAGAGGAAGCCATTCGGCCCATCAAGCTCATTTGGGGAGAACTTAACTAATAGCTCAGAGTTGTTAAAATCTTATCTAGCTCTGAT